CTGATGGGGGACACCAAGCCAGAGGGGGACACGGCACCTGTGGAAAGCAGGCGCCTGCTCAGAGCCAGGCCGGGGGCGGGGAGGGACAGTCGCCGCTGCCTGACGGGAAGAGGTTACGGTTCCCAAGACGATTGCAATGCCTGCTCCTGCCAACAGCAGCTGCAGTTTGTCTTTCAAGAGCCTCCCCCCACACGCCTCCCCCACAGAAGTGAAATCTCCAAAGGGCACGGTCAGGCCACCGTTGCATCCCCCAGCTCCTGGGCACAGCCCCCCGCTGCGGTCCGTGCTGAGCGCTCCTCCCAGGCCAAGCCAGGGCGGACATGCGGCAAAAGCCCCGTCCCTCATCGCCTGCCGGAGGCGTGGGGGGAATTGCTTCACTGAGGTTGAGTGCTAACCTGACAGCCTGAACTCAGCTGGACAGAGGGTGCCAGTTTGGGAGCGCCCCGTGTTTGCTCCCGTGCTCCCCCCAGGTCCTCCTCCCACCAACGACTCTCACACCCTCCCTCCATCTGCTATGGTACCGCACACTCCTTTTCAGGAGGGGTCTCCCAAAGTCTGGCCACCCCACGCAGGACGATGGCTGCAGTGGAGACCTGCCATCTGCTGACTCATTCCTTACCTCAGGTGCCTCTGCCTGACTCTCCTGCTTTGCCCCTGCAGGGCTGGCGCGGATCCACGCCTTGACCACGCAGGCCAGCTACGAGTTGCGCATCGACCTGGAGGACTTCGACAACGGCACGGCCTTCGCCCACTACAGCACCTTCAGCGTGGGGCTCTTCTCCGTGGACCCGGAAGAGGATGGCTACCCAGTCACCATCGCCGGCTACTCCGGAACAGCAGGTCGGTCTGCGCTGCTGAAGGGCGGCTGCCCGGTCCCCATCCCGCAGAGCCGACTGCTTGTGGAGAACGGGGCGGGAAGGGGAGAGGAGGCCTCGTTTCCATGGGGCTGTCAGAGCTGCCCGCAGCCGCTGCGCAGAGCCCAACCTGTTGCTTTTGAGGAGCCCTGAACATTGCCATTAATTCCTTATGGCCACAGGGAGCAGGGCAAGCTCCTCCCAGCCACAGGGAGGCTGGGATGGGGGTGGCGAGGAGAGGGGAGTG